TTGAGCGACCTTGAGCGACCTTGAGCGTTTAAATTTAATAGGAATACAAGAGACATGGGGATGCTTATGCTAGGTTGCAAGACAAAGCTCCACGCGCGGAACGGAGCGTGCGTAAAATGAGCGTAATCTCAGAGAATTTCGCAGTCAAGTTGAGAAAAGGGAAATAGATAGATTGCTCAAATGCAAATGAGTTGAGCTGAACCCAGCTCATGGTGGACGAAGAGCTCATGAACGGTGTGTATGTGTGCAAAAAAATTACCTCGTGCCCTAGTCTACCAGAGCATCTCAATTTGGAGTGGACCTAGGTAATATGTAGGTCACTCTACATAGGAAGAAGGAATGCCCTGGAAGAAGCCAGACTGGTATATATGTAAGGACATCGGATAAAATGACTCGATATCTGGAGACTCATATGATCTGGCGTTCTTGAGCTGGTCCTGATTAGCTTTTGTCTTGGGATCTCTACTATAATATTCAAAGAGAATAGTGAAACCGTGGCTGCCGGCTTCGAGTTGAAATCATGGCGAACCTATTTTGCAATTCTGCGATACGTTTGCTGTGCTTGTCTGTTACCCCGTACCGTATTGTTTTCAGACGATGATGTGATAGTGCACTATTTGTTATATCACTAAACTAAAGAAGCAGCGCTAATACTTACGTTCCAAGATTTTCTGTTGACTCACTTTATTGGGTTTCCCATCGCTTCGCTCATAGCGTCTCCATTTCAGCACTGCTCAGCCTTCACAAAAGGTCATACCCTCTCACTCACTCCTTTTTTACTACAACACTTGAACAACTTCTGTCCTTTTCAGCACAGCACTTTCCCTCTCTGCTGTCTGGCCCCTCACAAATCAAATGCGGACAAAAGGGAAGGAATGAATGCTTCGGGAAATCGGACGGAACGCAGAGAAGCCAATTCCACGTTCGGTCTTCTTTAAACCTGGGCATGTAGTATAATGTTTTACGCTGTTTTGCCGTACAGGTTTGTTATTGGTAGAAACCGCTTTATTTGGTCGACGTTTCGAACAAAGAGTCGTCATCAAGACCGGAAAGCTCTTTGGAGCTTCTGATCTGTGACCTAACCGACCAAGCGCCCAAACGCGCTAGCCTAGTTGCAACAGCTCCCAGAAACTTGATCACGAAAAAACTCGACCGAAAAACCAACAGTCTGCGGTTCCACCATCTTTGCTGCCCACTCAATTTTATGAACACAAGAAAGCAACGAGACACCATTGACGGTGGCTAGAAAAGAGTTGCGCGTTGTTTTCAAAGCCAACAAAAAGGAATGAATGGCAGAAATTCGCCCGTCCTGGCAATGCGCTCATTTCAGTTGTTCACCTCAAAATTTCTCTAGCGGATGCGCAACGTTTCCAAGATCTTTCTAGCATCTCATTCTCGTGAGCTAGCAACTTGCCTTTGCTATCAAAATCATTGCCTTGATGTACTTTTAGTCTATGCTTCCCAAGTAGCGTAAAGAGACTTCCACGCCTTTGACCTGCTAGATGTTCTTTGACACGTATGCCTAACATCCTTCTCGTCTCACCAATATATATTTCGTCACAGGATGAACACTGAAAGTGGTACACCGAGTGGCACGATCATAAAGTCTATTGCAGATAAGATGACTTTGTTATTGTTTGTGGTAGGTTAAACAAGATAAAATCATCGGCCGGATTCGCTCGTGCAATGCGCTGTCGGATTTTTGAGCTGACTTGGTCCGATATGCACGGAAGCCGGAGACGCATTATATGTTCGCGGTTTCTCAGCGATCAAGATCCTGAGCTTGACCTTCTGTGTTGTGCTCCACAGACATTCAAGTTTGCAATCTCGCATGCTAGCTTAGGTGACTCCTCTCGTTCTACCTCGCTAGTACACACTCTTGTAGCCGTTCTGTACATGTTACGAATTACTGCATGTTTCACAGTTTCAGGTTGAGCAGACTTTGCATGGAGTATGATGTTCTTCGAGCTGTTCTTGTGATGCCACTTCACATGAAACTTTCCTCCTTAGATCTTTACTTGCGAGTTCTACGAACTTCTCTCGTAAACATGATACACTGTGACCATTTGAGGATGTCATACAGGTCATCCATCTTTTGCTGCGTTGATGTAATTACGCAGCAGTCACCGAGTACCGGCTGTACATAATGAGCATGCACACACTACAGTAGTCGTTGTGTTTATGTCACGAACTACTGCACGTTCCGCAGCTTCGGAGTGAGCAGAGTTTGCGTGGAGTAAAAGCGCCGATGCAATCACGCAGCAGTCATCGACAGTACATAATGAGCATGCACGCTAAAACTGGCCTTCCAATCCTTCTCATTAAACACATTGCTAGGACCAGCGCTAGTCGCTGACCCATAGCGACTACTCGCTTTTGCGAGTTCTGCCTTAGAAATATAATCTTATTATTGAGGCATTCCTTGATCAGAGCCATAATGTGAACCTTGCTCAATACGAACGTCACAATTTCTGTTTCATGCTGGTCCAGCATTTCGGAAACCGGTTGGAAAGATTCTTCGTTGCTGACGTTCGTATAAAAGGCAGTTACATCGCAGTTTTCTTGAAGCCTACATGAACGCAGGCGATCAAAAACTTCATTGGTGTTAGGCAGATGTGAGGGTACGTATCGGAGTAGCTGACGCAAAATTTTGCTAAGAAACCAGGAAATACGGTCCGCTCGTCCTACTACGCAGCTGATGATGGGTCCACTTTTGTAATCACTAGCATTAAGTGATTCTCACCTCCGTTGGAAAACTCATGAGTCTCGATCAGGCTATAGAAGAGCGAGCACGAGGGTGTACCCAATTTTAATCTTCTAATAAACATTCTATCGCATTTTGTTATCTTTCCGACTGATACCCACTAAGCATTCAGCCTGTGACATTGTGTGAGAAATGCCTTTTCGTGGAATGTCTGTAGACGAAATGTCATCAAGTGTCTTGTCTACGAGAAAAAATCCGCACGAAGGTTGGCTTCCTCATCTGAACACGCGAATAAAGATCCCAGGCGGAAGGTATCATGTGGAAATGTATCGGAAGAATAGCTTGAAGATCATCTTAGTCCACGCAAAGTCTGCTCACCCTGAAGCTGTGAAACGTGCAGTATCGTATGTATACAGAACAGCTATTGGGATGTCACAAAATGAATGCTTTGTGGGTCTTCATTGCTCGGGCGGATCTGGCTAACGATGTTGCCTTGATAAATCTTCCATTGGACAGTATCAAAACTCAGCTTATCCGCAATAGACTTCATGATCGTCCACATTTAACGAATAACTGCGTTATTTTCTCGTCTAGAAAAGGCGGGATTGCGGATTTGAATTGAAATTGGGATAGGGGTAGTGAATGCGAAATCCTAGCCCTAGTGACAGCGAGTGACCCTGGTGACAACGGTGCTGGAAAGATCTTGGAAGCGTTGCACTTCCGCGAGAAAATCTAAAGCTGGTTCCATGTTGTTCACAAAAGTGAGTGCGACGGCAGCGTTAGTGGAACCGCAAGAGGTTGTTTCCTCGGTTGGGATCTTTTCCTGATCAAGTTTCTGGGAGTTGTTGCAGCTGGGCTAGCGCATTTGAGTCGCATCGGGCGGGTAAGCCACCGATCAGGAGCTCCGAACTGCTCTCAGGTCCTGAAGGCGTCGTTTCGTTCGAAAGCCGACCGTATAAAGCGCGTTGTACCTAGCAAACCAGCACGGCAAAACACTGTAAAACATTATAATACGTGCCAAGGTTTCAAGAAGATCAAACGTGGAATTTACTACGGGATGTATCGCCGCATGTATTCGGTCTAGTTTGTGAAGCTCTAGCTGAGAAAAGATTGTGCTCACTCTTCAACTGTTGCGGTTCCTACAGCGATGCAAGTCGATCGTCGTCTACTCAAGAATCACGAATAAGAAGCTAGGCCTAATATGTAATCTCAACGAAGATCACCCTAGGATCGAAACGTTTACCGTAATATCTTAAGTGTAGCTGTTAAACAGAAGCAGTACATATTGTGTTCTAGCTTATCCTTAAAGCGCTCGCGTCTGTATGTCCGTCCGTCCGTCCGTCTGTCTGTCTGTCTGTTTGTACGGAAATTCATAACTCCCCTCCTCGTGGACCTAGGACGTTCGAATTTGGTAGGATTACGTCGGCAGGATGGGAACACATATGGTGGGTGGCAGGACCGGACTTCGCCCACAGGGGCGGAGCTTGTGCGAACAAAGTCTTTCAGCGGAAAATCATAACTCCT